TTGTATGGATGAGTTCATATCTTCATACTACAAAATACCTCCAGCATCTATTTAAGTTGATTGTCTTGATGTAATAAGTAACTGCAAAATCTATTCTTATTGCATTTTTTGACTATAAAAACTTACAAACAAATACTTTTCTTTAGCAAAAAGTCAAAGAATTTGATTTGAAGTTGCTTGATCTTTGTGATCACCTGATTTGTTTGGCAGGATAATAAGAGCAGCTAGACTAATACTAACCATCGAGATCAGTGAGTACTGGAATTTAGTAATTGTATATGTTAAAAGGACACAAAATATAGAAAACTTGCTTATGTGTTACATTTTTGTCACTATGCCAAATATTATAAAATAGCTGAGAGAGTACGATTCCAAATTTGTATGAAGCAGAACTGAAATAAGTAAGTTCACACTTTAAATTTCGTGCAATATTTGTAAAGTTAATATTTCTTGGATAATGACTTACGTAACAGATGTAATATTTGGTTTTTATTAATTATTTTGTTTGTATTACAAATGTTCATTGTCAATAAAATTAAATTAATTCTTACAACATACATAATATTTTACTATTGCTATTATTATTAACTCAGCATTAAAAGCTGCATTTTCCCCCAGCACTGATGATCATCGCATTCAATATTGTTTATTTTACCTTATCTTACATACTGAAAATTGAAACAGTTCATCCTGTATCTTCTTTAATGTAATGTTTTTCTCCAACTGTAGAAATAGTTCTCTACTACGTAAATGTTACTAAGGAATAGTCACATGATTTTCCCTGCAGTTCGGAATGTGCCTTGGCAACCAATGCAATTTTTATTAGTTTTATACAATAAAATCCTACAGTATAGAAATATGCTCAAAACTCAAAACTTTGTGGTTGTTAAACGAATGAAATAATTTTATCCTAGATTTCAAAAATATATTTCTTCTTCTTGCTATTATCTAAGCATTGAATTGTTTTATTTTTCCATTTTCTTTACTATTCAAAACATATAATAACTTTTACAAATGTTGCATTCATATAACTTTTATAAACAAACATCATTTTTCATATCTTTTACACCAATGTGTAACTGCCTGGTTTTACTATAAAATTATTGATCGTTGAAAGAATCTTATTGTAAAAATTCGTTGAAAGAATCTTATGGCACACTTAATTCCATAATTTTGTTTACATCCCAAAATATTTTCTAAATTTGTTGGGAGCATCATCAGTTATGTAAATAATATTTTCTGAGAGCTCTTAAAAAATATAATATTTGTACAATTCAAATAACAATATATAATTGTCAGTTTTTAATTTAATAATATTAATATAATGAAAGAAATTGTCGTGGTGGAAATTGCCAATAATCCTGTGAAACACAGGTAGTGATTCGAGTTTATTATAGCTGTATCGAATCTTTAGATCTTGTTATTGGAAAAGCAGAATAGTAAAATATTCTATAGTTTGAAGTAAAAGAAATGAAAGGCTTTTTGGAAGAAAAAATGTAGAAATGTTAAAAACCTTTTAACAAGGAAATTTTAAAATGATTAACTTTGTATGCCATGAAAATTATTTTAAAAACAAAAGTCAAATACTGGCTATCCATTAGTTTTCATTTTATGTTGACAATCCTCGATTCACTCGTGTTTTCGTTGGTGTTACTGATTTATCGAAGGCAATTATTTTTCTTATCGAGTTATTCTCGCCATACATTACAATCTTCTATGTCATGCAGATGAGGGAGGAGGTTGTACATGAATCATCTTTTGCCAATGGACATGTGATGGCAAAATGTTTATATATATATATATATATATATATATATATATATATATATATATATATATATAAATGGATGTTGGTTTGTTCGAGATCAATAAACTCCTACACTTGTTGACCGATCTCAATGAAGGTTGGCACATCTACGTGCTTTTTCATGGAAAACTTTTTTATGTTGCTTTTTCATGGAGAAGGTTAGTCGTTTTGTTATTACCTCACTAGATGGCGCAGGAGCACAAGATGGCTCCAGCGTTAAATGTAATATCCAATCGACGCCAAGGAGGCCAGGAGGAACGGGTGGAGCAGGATGGAAAGAGAGAGAGTGAGAGAGGAGAAGAAAAATAGAGTACAGGGCTACTTCTACCGGGTTCTGCTGGTCTCATGTAAAGAAATTAATTTCCCTGATTGACAGGCAACTAACTGAGAACTGGTGTTTGACAGGTACATATCCTGACAATGACAAAAATGTTTCACATCAATGCAAGATTAGTTGCACATCAATAAGGGACTAAATCACACGAATATCTTCCTTATAAAATTCATTGATTAGTATTTCCGGTCGTGTCAACTGCTAAAGTCGTTAGAACCGTAGATGTAGTGCCTGTTTTTATAGCGAAAAGTTCAGTGATCTTTCCCACTAGTTGGTGATATCCAGCGTCGATCTACACTTCGACTAGCTAGAACGTCAAAAGAGTATCTCCCACCAGCGGGTAATCACCCTATTCGGGTCACGCTCAAAGCTCCCAACGTGTTTCGTAGAGTAGTATACGCAAGTGCATTTGTGTATAAGTAAGGGGAGAGCATAGGTGAAGGAAGGGAAAAGAAAGAAAGCGCGCGGACCGTGGCCCGTTTGTTAGAGTACTTCTCCAGCTTTCGCCTGATGTTGATCGGAGAAGCTACGGAAAAATACCTTTAGAGCAGCCGGCAGCTAGAATTCTGGCCAGCCGGCCCCCAGATAGGGACATAATTCGACCTAGGTATCTAGCCCAGTGTCGAATATCCTGCCACGATTAGAACGCAAACCCTAGGACCTCCCGATCAGAGGCACTGCAGTCACGGCACGTTTAGGTGCATCAGGGTATCAATTGATGCCCTCATCGACTTCAATGTGTCGTTATATGAGATTGCCAACACATGTTCTTTGGGAAAAGGTGATCATCTTCGACTGCTCAACTTGCCCTAGAAGTTTGTAACACTTATTCTGATTCATTCCCAACACGCACGATAGCATATACTAGGGCCTTCTAACTTTGCAGTGGGTCAAAATTGTAGTTGTCAAAATAGTTATATATTGCAAGGGTAGATGTGCTAATGTCCCCTGACGTGTCTTTGCATAATACATGCCAACTTGGCAGGACATAAATTTGGAGCATGATATTGGTATGAACTTGGTATCCAAAAAGATTTTATTAAATAAGAATTATGTGGAAAAAATATCTTTATGTAATAATCGGGTAACCTGGGTCACTCCGTCGGTCCGTCCGTCCGTTCGTCTGACTGTCTGGGTTCTCCCGTTCCCCATCTGTTACATCAATGGAGGCAAGCGAGGTATCATTCGACACGCCCCGGGCTCCTGGTAAGAAACTGATCATTTCTCTGCGGATCTATTTAGTACATTCTCTGTCATTTTCAAGAAAATACGTGTTTTTGTCTAAAATAAAAAGTTATAAAAATTAAGCCATGAAAACGCATATGTGGAAATTAAACTTTGAAAATATCCTAAATGAAAACCTATAGAGCCATAGAAGTCTTTGAAAGTCTTTTTCACAACAAATAAGATATTTTGTTCCTTCACGGAACAATAAACGCGTGTCAATTAACATTCGTAATACTCAAATATACGAAACAATTTTGTTTGTAAATCTTGATTCTGCATCACATCATTTCCAGTCCCTATCTGCCTCTCGCAGCTAAAAAATTCTGATAAAACTGATTGTCCAATTTTGTTATTTCCTCCTGCGATATCCTTCCACTAAAAAATACGGCACGAATTCTGTTAACGGGTCTTTTCTCCGGACAAACCGCCCAGTATATATAATACATCACGCGTAAAACAATACGGTGTCGTCTTGATGGAACGCGATCGTTCACATCAACAACTCTGCCCATTTTCACGACTCTTCTGTACATCCACGACACAATGACGACGGTCACCATGACGACGAACCACACCACTACGGCGCGGCCAATGTCCGGTGAGCTACCTTCCTGGTACGACTGGCTGGTACGACGCGCTGGCGCCGTCGGCGGTGATTGCTCGGCCGGTCACCAGATGGAGCAGCGGTCGTTGTCGGCGGGCGCCATGCTGGAGCCCGCGGAGCACCCCCACGCCCGTGCAAATTCCTTGGAATTCTTGAGGCTGGCCAGCAGCCGCACTGGGTTGGGGGAGTGTGTGTCTGCCAGGAGGGAGAGCGCCACTTCCGACGTTGAAGATTCGCACCAAGACTGCAAACAAATGAATTTAAGTTGAGCAATAATTCATAAAATAAATAAGTTGTATATTATATGCATAATAAACTTTAATTCAATACTATTATATTCAAAAATGCTTTACATTTTTTAATTAAAAATTTAATTTAAATAGTATAATAACTCTGCCGTTATGTGTACACTAGTTATATATAGGCCAGAAAGTGGTTAGAAAGACCATTTATAACTCAAGAACGGCTGGACCAATTTTAATTAGCTCTGATTTGTTGGATAGCAGAATAACTACTAAAATATCTGACAAAATAAAAGAGATTGAGAGAGAGATTGAGAGAGAGATTGAGAGAGAGACTGAAAGAGAGACTGAGAGAAAGACTGAGAGAAAGACTGAGAGAGAGAGAGACAGAGACTGAGAGAGACAGAGAGAGAATGAGACAGAGAGAAAATTAGAGACAGAGAGACAGAGAGAGAGTGAGAGAGGGAGAGAGAGGGAGAGACGGAGAAAGAAGAGGCGGTGATAGAGGGAGAGGCAGAGAGAGAGAGAGAGAGAGAGAGAGAGAGAGAGAGAGAGACAGAGAGCTGGAGAGAGAAAGGGAGAAAAAAAGAGGAAAGGAGATAAAGGGCAGAACAACGCCTGTCGGGGTCCGCTAGTTGTATAATAAAATATAGTTAATAACTTTTAAATTAAAAAATATAAATATTTTTAAATTAAAAATTTAATTTAATTTTTATTATTACTCCGTCGCGCTGCGTGTGAGCATCAATTTTTCATTGCATAACAAAATTTAATTCAAAAATTTTTAATTAAAAAAAAGAACTTTGAAGATAAATGACAATCGCAGCCGCGTGGTGGGGAGACTGACGAGCGCGTAGGCGAGGAAGAAGAGCTGCTCCTCGGAGAGGCCCTCGAAGGCCGGCAGCGCCCGCGCGCGCGCCCCGCGCTCGCGCCGCCCCAGCGCCCGCCGCAGCGCGCCCAGCGCCGCCGCCAGCCCGCCGTTGTCCGCGATGTTCTCGCCCAGCGTCTTCGCGCCGTCCACCTGCGCACGCGATAATCATATTAAAAAGTTAATCATATTATTTATTTTAAATCATTTTGTAAAGTTTTTGATAATAATTTTATATTTTTTAAAATATTATTTTCTAATTGTTTCGAAAATAAATTTGTAATGGTTTTGAAAATAGTTTTGTAAATTTTTTGAAAAAGTTTTGTAAATTTTTTGAAAAAGTTTTGTAAATTTTTTGAAAAAGTTTTGTAAATTTTTTGAAAATAATTTTGTTAATTATTCAAAAATAATTTGTACATTTTTCGAAAATAATTTTGTATTTTTTGAAAATAATTTTGTAAATTTTTCGAAAATAATTTTGGAAATTTTTCGAAAATAATTTTGTAATTTTTGTTCTTGATGTTCTCGCCCAGCATCTTCGCGCCCTCCACCTGCACACGCGACAGCGTTCACTGCTCTAGAGGAAAAATGTCTGGGACTGATCGAAAAGTATTGTGGCAATAAAAAGATATTCATATTATTTATTTTAAATCAAATTGTAATTTTTTTGAAAATTTTTTATATATTGTTTTCTAATTTTTCGAAAATAAATATGTAATGGTTTCGAAAATAATTTTTTAAATTTTACGAAAATAATTTACCATTTTTACCTAAAATTACCCAAAATTTTACCCAAAATTATTTCAGAAAATGTACAAAATTAATTTCGAAAAATTTACAAAATTATTTTCGTAAAATTTACAAAATTAGTCATTTTTGTCCGCGATGTTCTCACCCAGCGTCTTCGCGCCGTCCACCTGGACACGCGACAGTGTTCGCTGCTCTTGAGGAAATTGTCTAATAGGAATTGAATAGTATTGTGGCATTAAAAAGGTCATATTTATTGTAAATCATTTTGTAAGGTTTTGGAAATAACTTTGTATTTTTTTGAAAATAAATTTGTCACCACTCCGCCGTCAGCACTCGAACCTCAGTACATGTAAACTTCCGCGGCTCGAGTTCATGACTTCTAGGCTGTCCGGGCGAGGACTACCTTGAGGATGCCTGACAGGCAAAACATCGGCCTCTCAGCGAATGACGCGGCGTTACCAGGGCAGCCAAGAAGCCTTCGCTTTCATTGTACACGTAGGCTACCGCGGCTCAAGTTCATGGCTTCTAGGCTCTCCGGGTGACGCCGCGACGTTGTCTGAGAGGCCGACGTTTCGCCTGTCATATGGCAGGCTTCTTCAGGGTAGTGAGGACTACCCTGACGCGGCGTCACCCGGACAGCCAAGGAATTGTTGCTTTCGTAGTACACGTAGGTTTCCGAGGCTCGAGTTCATGGCTTCTTGTCTGTTCAGGTGAGGACTTCACTGAAGAACCCTGCGATAAGACAGGCGAAACGTCGGCGTCTCAGCCAACGACGCGGCGTCACCCGGCCAGACTAGAACCTCCGGTCCTCCCGTGATCAGTTGGTGCCCGAAGCCGCCCCCCGGCCAGCGTCCCCGAGGGCGCAAGGGTATTGCCGCCGGCCGCCGTGTGCTGAAGGGAGACTCACCGGGACGTCCAGGAAGGGGATGTTGTAGTTCGCGTAGTGCTGGACGAAGCACTGTGCGCGCTCCTCGTAGGCGGCGGCGCTCGCGTTGCTCCACCAGTTGCGCACGTTGCCGCCCTCGTCAAACTGACGCCCTGCACACGCACGCGCGCACACGCAATGTTATGGGAATACGCATGTGTGGATTTGGCAGTCAGGATCGGACCGTTCGTTGAATGACGGTACGTACAAGTACCACATTATTTTATACGTAGTTAATAAGTGTTGTGTATGCCAGCTAGCCTCACAGCTTTTTGGCACACACACGCGTTCGCACACACAATATTATAGAAATAGTGAATTTGGCAAAAGGGTCGGACCCTTCATTGACTGACAGTACCTACAAGTAGCACAATATTTTCTGAAAATTTAATTGTATGCCGGCGTGTCTCACAGCTTGTTGGCACAAGCACGCACACGATGTTCTAAAAAACACATATGTGAGTTAGGAAATCAGGGTCGGACCATTCTTTGCCTGACGGTACTTGCAAGTTCCGCAATATTTAATGCGAATTTAGTAATAGTTGCATGAGCCAGCGGGTCTCACAGCTCGTTGGCACAAGCACGCACACGCACACACACGATGTTATAGAAATACGCATGTGTGAATTAGGCAAAAGGGTCGGTCCCATCGTTGACTGACGGTACTTACAAGTACCACAATATTTTATGAGAATTTAATAATTGTTGCATGTGCTAGGGGGTCACAGCTTGTTGGTACTATGAAGTATCATTGGTGAATAAGTTACAATTTGTAGATTTTTACACGTTTATAGCTTTCTCACTGCATTTGTTTGTTTCCGTGTCGTGTTTTTTTTTTGCGTCTTCCAGGAGATTTCGGTACGACTGCTAACTTCTCTTGTTGTTTTTTATCGTTTTTGTTGAAAAACTTTCCTATTGTTGCAGATCCAAGTTTAATATCACTTTTTAAATTAAATAATTTTATCTCCATGAAGTGACCGGCAAAATCTCAGGAATATTTACAAAACATTTTAAATAGTTTTCTCATCGTATATCCAAATTTCCTAAACAAAACTGCGATATAAAAAGATAGAAGCAAAAACAAACTTTTAGCCGATTTCAATATGATTTAGAAAATCTAGTTATTTGGCTATACTTGGCATTTCATTACTCTAACCTAAATTTTTGTTTGCCTACACACACACACACACACCAAAAAAAGAGATAAAAGCTTCGGTCCAAGGTCACGGTGTCTGGAAAAGTCCTAATATTTGACGTAACTTCGCATATCAGTTTTCTCGGGTTTACTCAATTAAATCTTTGTTTACCAATCTCCAGAACAATAGGAAAAGAAGATTTCGAAAATGTATGTTTGTACTGTATAGTATTGTAGCACTTTTCAATTTCTGTGACTGAGCTAACAAAAAGTGTATTTGGGCAATCAAGGGCACAGTTTGATCAGAATATTATTCACAGTATCATTCTTTGTGTGCAACGTGGTGTCCTTAATGAATATATGTTTCTGATTCGTAATGATGTATTTCTTTGTCTGTGGAAAAGAAATTTGTACTTGAGCAATCGTGGGTGCACCTTTGGCAAATATTATCTAAAGCGGCGGCGATGGTGTAACGGTTAGCGTACTGGACTGTTGTACCCAAGTTGGCGGGTTCAAACCCGATCGAAGCCGTGGATTTTTAATGGCGAAAAAATCCTTCGTACGCCTTCCTTCGGAGGGGAAGTAAAGCCGGCTGTCCCATGTTCGTAGATTTACTTGCAAGTAAAAGATCCTCAAGCCTAAATGACGCCTCTGAGCTAATTAAATTGCCTGTTTCTCGCCCAAGAAATACCTCCTTTCTCTCCTAGTTGGTGAAAGGAGCGTAGCGAAATTTGCGTGGTCAGACGGAAGAGCGGGCCTGATGGCCCGAGTCTCGCCACGTAAAATAAGGCAAATTCAATTCAAGTATTATAATTTTTAGTTAAGCGAATTAAAACCCGGGAGCCAATTTTCATTCCTATAAAGCGTGTTGTAGCTCTTTTACACGACTTTGCAAATAATATAGTTGAATAATAGAGTTGGTGAAAAAAAGAGTAATAAAAGCTTAGAAAACTTTGATATTCCATGGAGCAAGTGATTACTCGCTTTTAAATTGTATTATACCAAAGAAAACTTATCAAAGGAATTTCTTGCATTGAGTCGTCACCAGCAAAAAGAAAAATGTTTGTAACCGTTTTGTACCAGTTCGAAACTTTTCCTGTTCGAGATATATTATTGGTAATACATAATTTTGCTGCTAATAATATTTGATGTTTCTAAATAGTTGTGTCGTCGTGTATGTATACCACAAGTGTTTACATAATATTGTGTCGAGTGAATGGGCACACAAATGTTTTGCCGGGCAAGCATTGTAAAATAAAGATTGAATATTAGTTCAATTTTTTTAAATTATGTAGATTGTTCCGATCAAAATGGTAAGAAATTAATTTTTTGTATTTCTCTACTTCTTTTGGGATATGCAAACGAACATTTGAATTGGGAACCTACGAAAATATGCAAATTATATTCATGCAAGTTTCATGCAAATACCTGATTTTTTCAGCCAGCCTGATTTTGTCACGAAAAGATTTTGTCTTGAATTTTTTGTATGGATTGGCAAACAAAAAATTGGTTAAGCAAACGTGAGGAAACAATATGCTAATATTTGTTAATATTCTTTTGTTTTGACATACTTCACGGAGGTGGCTTGTGAGGATTTTGTTAAGCGCGGTACTTTTGGCAACTTCTTACATCACGAAGTTTTCGTTAATTTATTGAGTTGCATGATTGAGTTATCTCTCAACAAAGCAGATTCTAAATCTATGCTATTTGCAAACCTCATCCATCAACGTGAGAATATAGAAAAAGTACTTGAGTAAAATATTCGATAATAAGTGTTGAACCCCTGGTCTAGATTTTTCATTTCCTTGCACAAGTAAGTCATACGGGCGTGATATTCGACGAATATAATTGTGTTAATTTTTTATATGAAAAGTACAGCGTTCTGCTCTAGAACGTTTTTGGGATATCAATCCATGTTTTGTAGTGGCAGAACGTATACATTGTAATGTTTGAGATCAGTAAGGGAATGGCATTTTCATTGCGTATTTTCCAAGAATATTAATAATCCTTTTGTCTTCTTGGCAAGCCGCTACACTAATTATTTTTAAAACGAGTAGTATATCATATCTTTGTATGAAACTTTTATTGAATTAAAATTCAATAAAAATGAAAAACAACAGAGAAACAATTTTGTGAATTGATCCAATTAAACTCTCCGTAAGAAAATCATAAATGAGTGTAATTAATGTATAGTTAACCGTTGGGTAGTAGATACCTGAATCATCCTTTGCGGAGTTAATAATGGTAATTTCATCGACCTCTAACTTCCCTCCTTTATTATTGATACACGAGTAGTTCGATTTTCTGCCACCAGATTGCGTTGGGACAACAACACAATTTCCGATGCGACTCCAACAACCTGATTGGCACGTCATCTTGACACAAAGCTTTTCCACCTGCTGTTATGACGTGTTCATAATTGCAAGCAAATGCGGGAATGTTGTCATAACATGACGTAGGGCTGCGAGTCATAAATCGATATATCGAGTGTGTTGTCTTGTTTTTTGTTCTTTCATTTAATGCAGTCATTTGCTTTTTGGCTCAGTTAATGGTCTTTGTTAGTGTTTTCAGCAATCTTTTACCATTGTTCGCATTTTATACTTCTCTTTTGTCAACTTCTTTCTTGAAAGTTTCTTGAAAGTCTGTGACTTTCTTTTTGTCTTTTTCTTCTTTCATTATGCTTTGACTCTAGCTTTTAAAGTTGTTTAGATTATATAACTATAATCTGCAGACTAGTGCAAGTTTCAGCATTTTTTAATGTTAGGTTAATCAATTTTCTACATTTAGTACCAAAATAATAATTTTCAAACATTGATATGTATTTCTCATATAATTCTAGGCAAACTTTACATTTCAGTATAGTTATAGCATCGTCTTTCCCTTCCTTTCCTTTCCTTTCCTTTCATGCAAATTCAATACCTTTTGTTACATTCCAAATCGCTTTGTCACATAATTTCATGATTCAAGTGCTTAAAAATTACAACAACAATAGTAATATTTACAGAATCACTCGAAATCATGCCAAAATGTATAACGTTCATGAGTAAGCAAATATAAACATTTAAAGATATGAAAACTTGATCTTGCTGATGAAATGAGGACATAAAAATATCACACACTATTCATGCTTCAAAACAAGTCTCCCTATGTCTTTTCAACCTCAAATCGACACCAAGCATATTGAGTTTCAGGACAATCACATTCATATTTACATCAAGTACATTCTAATTAACATAAAACACTTTCAAATTGAAAATAAACTGGGGTAAATATGAAAAATTGGCCATGCAAAACAATTGAAAATTTATTGGCTTATTGAACCTCCGAAGTATTAAAGGATATCCAAAATTTATGTCTTTCTCTTCCGCATCTTTTCTCTTTTCTTCTTATCGTTTTAATTAGTTTTCTCCTACCTCTACTCCTTATCCTCCTCTATGTCATATATAGTTGTCAATGAATTTTTCAACGTTTCAATTAGGAGGTGCTTGGTGTTCGTTTGTGGTTGAAAAAGCGGAGAAACAATGGAAAAGTGAAGTCAAAAGAGTAGACAAAAAAGACGACGAGCAATCAACATCAACAGGTACCATTCCGCATCTACAATCAGCCTCAAAGAGCTGTGTTCAGAAAGCCACTCAACATCAAACGGGGTGCTGGAATCAAACCACACGTGACCAACACACACGTCACCAACGGGTCATGCGACGTCTGACGACGGCGCATCACCGTGGTGACGTCACCCACCGTCGTTGTCGAATCCGTGAGTGAGTTCGTGACCCAGCGTTGCGCCCAGGAATCCGTAGTCCAACGCTCTGCACATGGATGCATGGATTATTTCGTGTTTCCGGGGGCGGCATTATATTTTCAGTGTATGTATGTATGTGTGAATGTATGTATTGTAGCGTCGTGCCACGCTCAAAACAGACAACCACGTGGAAATCGGCGAGCATCGCCGGATG